TCTAGCCAAAGGGAACCCCTGCTTCCTTACAGCTGATGAGGCCCAAGGGGTCCAGAGGCTGACAAGACATACTTCCCATGGTTTGCTAACTATTGCAGGGCTCTTGCTAAACCAAAGGCATCAGATAGATTATTTCACACAGTCTCATGTTTTCCTCCCATTTTCTGTTGGTAGGGAGAGTAGGCCACACAGAAGCAGGCTGTTAGTAAGTGGCTAGCTGGCTGTCATTATTTTTGCAGCATTTAAAATTACATGTGGGGAGAAAAAAGGGAAAATCATCGCCAAGAATCACCTTATTCTAAACAGTGATCTCCATCGAAAACTACAGCTCTTTTTAAAACCGAGAGTCCAGACTTTTAAAATATTGTGTCAAACGAAGCGGCAGCACTCAAAAGTAATAAATCTCCCCACTTTCAGGAAAGCGGCATTCATGATGGGCTAGAATGACTGAAAACAATGTACTGGCAACATATGAAAAGGCGAATTCAAGTATGGACACGGTATAAGAGAGTCATAGAAATTATGCATCTTTACAGAAGGTAAAACATGTAGCGCTTCGCCATGGAACAGTTCAGAGGATAAAAGTGGTCTCAATACACACTAGTTAGTGCCATGCTGTAGGGACAAATTTCATCTCAGCACTGGCAGTCTTGTATATACTCACTCAAAGCCACCGAGCCAATTCCAACTCAGTCTGTAAATCCTCACAGGAGCAGACAGCCTATCCTTTCTCCCTAAGAGCGGCAGGGGAGTCTGAACTGTCAACTCTGTGGTTAGCAGCCCAACGCTTATCCAAGAGCGCCACTGGGGCTCCATCATATTTATTAACCATAAAAAGCGAAACAAAACAAAGCTCACTGCCACCGAGCCGATTTCCAACTCTAGGCAGAACAGGACCACTCCTGGGAGTTTCTGAGGGTGTACATTTTTAAAGGCCCAGAAAGCCTCATCTTTCTAGCGTGGAGAAGCTGTTGGATTTGAACTGCTAACCTATGGTTAGCAATCCGACGCATAACCCTTAACTCGTGCATCTCAAAGGACCTGCCAATTCTAGGCGCAGCGATACTACTGGTACCAAACACAGAGAATGAGCATCCAGGAATTATTATTCAAAATGAAATGAAACTAACAGGGAGGGATGGCAGAGCTCATATGAAATTCTGATTTAATTATCTCTCAGTAAACACTCATTTGCTCTTGGAAAATCAGGCATTTCAAATTACCTCTGCAGATGTATTGCTTGGTGCTGTGTGTATCTAATGATCACATTTAAATCTAGTTTGATTTGCAAACATTTTCAAAACGTATAGGGCTCTTTAAGCTGTGATGGGAGGTGACAGATGGTGGGATGTGAGTGAACAAAACGAGGAGCACCCATGCGACACGGTGCTTTCAGGCTGGCGGGATTCTCGGGCTCTGAGGGGGACAACAATAATCCGATGAAGCCCCAACGGGCGGCTTTAAAAAGCAACGACTTTGTTCTAATCACTCAGCAGCCACCCACGATCCCGTCTGCAGATGAACGTGATGGTGCGCTCCCTCGGCCCTGTCTGCTGCGGCAGAGGTCACCGCGTGGTGCAGGGGTTTCGTCGTTTTAACATTCTGGGGACATGCAAGATGAGGCCTGGGCACACGCCGGCGTGGGCCGGCACTGCTAAAGGCAGACTACAAAGTGATGGCATACATCCTTCCTTTAAAATGCCAAGGTTTTCAATGCATAGATGTAGAAAGTAATTAAGTTCCATGAATATTTAGGAACAAAACACACAACCATATATGAATCTTGGTTCCCAAAAGAGAAAAACATACCAGAAATAAACAAACAAACAAACAACTCTGGTTTTCAAAGCCACCACCTGTGCACAGCCCTCCTGTTGACCAATGCCCTTCTACAGAGGCGCCCTCCGCCCTCCGCCTGGGTTCCCACGGATCAAGCGTGCCCAGCTACTGTGTGTCTCCGTTCACACCGACCACGCAGCAATGACGGCGGGGCAGTAAGAGCCAGGGACCTTGAATGGGCTTCTTCTACCTTTGTCAAACATGATGTAAAGGCTCGTCCAAGTTTATAAGGCGGGGGAGAGTGGGACAGGCTTGGTGACAGACCCAAGGTTAAGGTAAAAGTGTGGCATTTTAAATCCAATGATTACAAGGAGAGTACGGTTTAATTGAGCTGACTTCAATGATGATGCCGCTGTTTGGAGCATGCAACACATCACCGATATCTGGTAAATCCCTGGCAGGTTTCTTCACCGTGACCCCCTTCCCCACCCCCAGCCCCAGTCTGCTCCCTCCCCCCTTAATAAACAACAGTATAAAAAAGGTAAAATCTAGAGTTAGTGGCAAAATCTTCACAGTAACTTGTTAATAAAGTCGTCGATGACGGTCAAGGGCATCAGTCAATTGGACCTTGGAAAATCAGTTTGACGCAGTTCTGTTCCCCCACCAGCTGTGTTGCACAGAAAGGGCAGGCGGCGTGAAACGCGTGCGTTCCATGAGGCAACGGGATCTGAGACCAGTACTTCGCCGACTTCTCGGAGCACACATGGCCACAAGGGGTGAAAGCGTGGGTCGGCGGCCCTGCATCCACGTAAAATCCTGCCTCGCAGCCAAGCCAGAGAGGGACATAGGGACCCACAGTCCTGCACATGGGACACTCCCGCTCGTTGGCCTCCGTGTCGCTCCGGTGGCCCCAGTTGTGGTACCCATGCACGTGGCCGCAGCTGAGGTATGCCCAGGGCTGCTTCTCCTCCACCACCTCCTTCCTGTTGATGCTGGGGAAGGCCAGGGTGTTGAGGCCCACGGGACACTGTGGCCGCGCAGCATTGATCTCCTGCCGCAGGGCTTCTATGTGTTTCTGGGTCGGAGTGTGAAAAAGGCCATCTGCTGTTCTCCAGAGCAGAGTGGCCCCACACAGGTCAATCAGGGAGCCGTCCTGCAGCACGTTGGTCTCACTTTCCACCTGCAACAGGGGGACAGACATGCCTTTAAGCGCACAGCCCTACACCCTGTCCAGCAGACTCTCCTTTCAGAGGGGAGAGAGAGACCATCTCTGAAGACAGTATAGGAAAAATAATTAATAAAACAGTCCTGAATAAAGTATCACACAAAAACCAACCCCACTGCCATCGAAATGTTGCTGGCTCACAGTGACCCTAACGGGACAGGGTGGACTGCCCGGGTGGATTTCTGAGGCTCGACATCTTTGTGTGGCAGAAAGCCTCCTCTTTTTCTCATAGAATGGCTGATGGGTTTGAACTGCTGACCCTGAGGTTAGCAGCCCAACACATAACCACTACTCTACTAGGGCTCTTTGATTTTGAGGATAGAAGTCAAAACCTTTGTTTTCAACAATTAAAAAAAAAATCATGGTGAAAATATATACACCCAAACATTTACCCATCTAACAACTCAATGACGTTGATTCCACTCTTCGTATTTACAAGCAGCACCCTGGCCTTTTCTGAATTATTCTGCCACCATTAACAAATGCAGTGCCCTCCTGAGCAAAAACCTCCCTTCCTCCCCGCATCCCTCTCAGCCCGGCAGCCACTAATCAGTCACCCCTGACTTGTGCACACGTGTCTGTCTCATGTAAGTGAGATTATTCCAGTATGTGCCTCCGTGTGACAGGCTTAGTCCGTTCAACAAAATGCTGCCGAGGTTCGTCCAGAAGTGGCTCTCTAAAGGGGGTTTCCTTGGACGGGAGATTTGGGGAAAGAGTGTGGGGAGGAAGGACAGAGGCCCGGAAAGGCCAAAACAGCTTTTGTGCTGGGGGGCAGCGGGCCGGAGACAAGGAGCACAGATGTTCAACAGACCACTGGCCACTCTGCTCACTGCCAAGCCCTCAGATTCAAGCTCCAAGCTCCACTCAGCCCTGGGCACTGAGCCCGCTCTGGGGCCTTGCCGAGTGCTGCCCTGCTCTGAGAGTCTCTAGGCATTAACTCACCCTGGTGGTCACTCCTGTTCAGCAGAAGAGGAAGTCGTTGGGTGAGCCAAAGATTCAAGACCACAAAGTTACCGGGTGGTGAAACCAGGACTCGCACGTGGCGGTCCCACTCTGTACACAGGGCACACACACTTGGCTAGGCACTGGAGGGTTAGAGGTGCAAGTCTACCCAGGGGCGCTCAGGAAAAATGAGCCCCTGTCAGGAGGGTGCTTCTGTTCTGCCACACGTGGGTCAGCCAAGAGTCAGGGTCAGCACAAAAGCAACCATGTGCCCTTTGAGTTCGGTGACGAAGCAGCGTCTTCATTGCCACTTTGTGTGCCCTAAGGAGCCCTGGTGCGTAGTGGGTCGTGTGCTGGCTGCTAACCGCAAGCTGAGTGGTTCACAATCACCAGCTGATCGGCAGGAGAAAGAAGAGGCGTGCTCTCCCGTGAAGAGTCCAGTCTCGGACACCCGCGGGGCAGCTCTCCTCTGCCCTGTACGGTTGCTGTCCATTGGCATCAGCTCAATGGCGGTGGGCTGCTGTTGGTCACCGGTGCCACCTCCATCTGTGAACAGAGCGCCGTTTGTCCCACAGGACGCGGCAGCAAGGGGAACACCCCCCCTGGGCAGTTACTGGGTACAGGCAGGACCGAGGTTTTATTCTTTTAAGTCTTCAACATACAAACGAACGACAAGAAAATGAAACCAAACCCAACGCCCTCACGTCCACTCGGACCCACAGAGGTGCCACGGGGCAGGTGGACCAGCGCCCGTGCCTCTGTACAGGAGGAGAGAGGGGCCACTGTCTCCTGGGGCAGGGCTGGCAGTGTCCGACCGCTGCCCTTGCAGTCAGTGGCCCACGGTGCAGCCCCCAGGCCACCAGGGTCCTTAAGAAGAGGGGAGAGCAGGGAGAAAACCACAGGTTGGATGGTGGTGCTCTTGTTCTGCGAGTCAAAGTTCACCCGCGGCGGCTCTTCCACATCAGCTGTGCAGGTGCACTGCCCAGGACTCAGTTCCTCACCCACCACGTGACGACTCGGTCCTCTGATCTGTGTCTAAGAGGGAACCCTAACACGGCCGAGGGGGAGGAAGGTTCGGGCGATGCCTGTGGGGAGAACCTAGGATGACGTAATACCTGTGCAGAGAATTTTAGATGAACGGAAGCACTTGGTAAACTGAGTCACGGGTCTTCTCCTGTATCACCAAACTGCCCATCTCATGCCAGGGAATATCGTTCAAGAAAACACGTCAAATGCAGTTATTAAAATACTCGAGGGCCTCGAGTAGATTCGTGAATGTGCTCATGTTATTATCAGCCTAATTCTGACTCAAAGTTCATTCGCTTATTTACTAAGTGGGAGTGAAGTGCCTAAAAAGTCATTCCTCTGAGAATTAATTAATTATGCTGATTAAGCCTAAGTAGCAAAGTTCTATCATTCGCCATGCAGACGAGAAAACACGATTTGCTGTTAAGAACACATTATTCTGTCGATTTATATTAGATGCAGAGTATACTATTAATACATACCTTCCTATTAGGGCTCTGATTAGCAGTCACTCCACAAAGTGAGGACCCCCCGCCCCCGAAACCCAGTGTCATGGACGTGATTCTGCCTCGCAGCAACCCCGTAGGCCGGAGCAGGACTGTGCCCCGGGTTTTCTGAGACGGTAACTCTTTATGGGAGCAGCAGCCACATCTTTTCCCCTCAGAGTAGCTGGTGGGCTTGAACCTCAGGTCAGCAGTCAATGCCTAAACAATGTGATGTTGGGCACATTCAACATTGTTGTTTCAAATACGCAGGGCCATGACTGCTCACTTTACTCCTTTTTTTTTCACTTTACTCCTTTTAGTTTGGGGTTAAGACCGTCAATAAAGTGTACTTGCCAGAGACCACCCCCAAACCTATCTCTTGATAGACATGACTTGTATCAGATACTACTCGCAATGTGTACAGGGCACAAGAGTCATAAATGGAAACACTAGCCTCAAGAATCATCTCAGAGCCCAAACGCGCTGCAGGTGAGCAGCAGGCGACGTCTCCACCCGGTTTCCCAGCGCCCGAGGGCCCTCAGACCGCACTCTTTCCCATCGTCCAGTCAGTCTTACCCTGTCCAACAGTGTCAGACCACACGCAACTTATGGAGACGAACTTGGGAGTGCGCCCATGTTTAATGCGACCCCTACTCCCGCGCCAGCTGTTTTTGGACTTGATTTTTCTCTTTTCTGTAGAATTACAAAATCCTCTAGCCCACACAACACTCCATTATAACCAGAATGGGCCAGAAACCCCCGAGGGACTGGGTCTGCCCGGAGAAGACCCTGTGGATGCCACCCCACAAGGGAAATGTTCTGGTGAATGTCAGAGAGACCATTGTAAAGAGGAGCTGGGTGATCAGTGAGGAGGCCTGAGGTTCAATACCGCCCCACCTCCATTATCCTGCTCCATCACACCGCCTCAGCCGCAGAACGGGCGGGGTTTGCTGCCAGGGAGCAAGGCGCAAACGAACGTCGTCGCCTCTGACAGGCTAAAACAGCGCCATCAAGGACTCCCCATGACTGCTGTCGTCACCATTAATAACCAGTCTGCCCAGCCTCAGTCGGCTTTGTACATAACGAGCCGCCGACAGTTAACAGAAGAGCTATTTGGGAAAAACTGCTTTCGCGTCCCCGTCCCTCTTGCGAAAGCACTGAAACGTGGACTGGGCGTGGCCTTTCGTGGCAGATGCTTCTTGTGGTACTGAGTGCTGGGGCTGTGCTGTGCGACGGAGATGCTGGCCCAGAAGTGCAGGACGGTGTGAACTAGTAAGACCCGGGAGAAGCCTGTGAGAACGGAGAGGCAGGAGACCAGGCAAGCCAGGTCCGTCGACACCATTTCCTTTTGTCCCTCTCCATCCTAAAACCACTACTGGGGTACCAACTCTCTCTGCGAATGTCTAGCCCCTACCCGTTTTCCTGTGGGGAGGTTTGGGCGAAGATGTTTGCTACTCGATTAAGACCCCTTCGGTGGCTGGGCCCCAGAGTATAACAAGATCAGAAACCCCTGCTCTCATTTAAGGTGTTACGGTCATTTCCCATGGAAGCACAGGTGCAAAGGCTGCCGGCTTTGGGGATATTCGGAGAGGTACATTAACATGTCAGGCCAATGCACCCGATGACTCTTTTCAAGTCATAAGTGTAACTGTGAGTGAGGTGATGAATAGGCGGGATTCTGACTTGGCTCCTTATTGCACACTCAAGGCAGAAAAGCTACCTTCGTTAACTTTTAGTTCAGCGGCGTCTTGTCATTCATTCGCTAAGTCATAATTCTGCTGATGCGTCTTCGACACTCAAGCCTATTCTTCCTAAAGTGGGGTGAAGCGCTGTTTCGTGAGTCAGCAGACAATAAAAGACTGGAGTCTACAAAGGAAAAGGGGCGAGCGGGTCCCACCGTGGGGAAGGTGAACCCACTGAGGGAAATAAAGCCATTTCCTTCTTTCTTATAGGTGGATGGAAACTTTTCGTTCCCCTTGGTGGATAAAACCCTGTCTATAGGTCAATTCTGGCTCACTGCGACCCTGTATGGGTCTTTGAGGCTGTCACTCTCGATGGGAGCACCTCACCTTTCTCCTGAGGGGCGGCTGGCGGGGCTGACATGAGCCTGCGGTTAGCAGCCTCATGTTTACTGGATAGCTCCACCAGGGTCCCAACCCCGCCTCACGGTGGCCCACGTGGTGACAGCAGACCTGGGCTTCCCGTGGCTTGCCAGGGTCGACTATTCTCCAGAAGTAGGTTGCCAGGCCTTTTCTCTGAGGTGCCTCCAAATGGACTTGAATCTCCGTTTCAGACAGTGGCTGGGCACGTGGACCATGGGTACCACGCCAGGACTCCACACCCGCAGAAAGGCCCCTGGTTTCAGAGGGAGGGCAATGACAGTCCACACGGAAGCCAACTCACCAGTTTCCCCCTTTGCTGGGCCGACCTGGTCTCTCGCAAGGTGTACACATCCCCACACACGGAGATCTCGCGCCAGACCCCAGGCTGGGACTCTTCAGTGAAGCCCCCTCTGGGGTGCATCACCAAGACCCCGTTGGTAGTGAGCCCGTCCATGTGGCCGTCGGGGTTTTTCCACTTGGC